CGTCTTTAATTATTTTAAAATTTTTCTCTAACATTGGAGGTAAATCTGATAAATATCTTTCACAAATATGACATTTATCAGATTTATTATAATAATTATTTAATTGTTCTGCATTCAATGTTTTCATAGGAACTATTTTATCATATATTTTAGAAATAAGTTTTTCTTCATTTTTCATACATTCATAAAATACTTGAGCTACGTTTGAACCAGAATATTTGACAGGAGGTTTATAATCACCATTACTATATTTAATATAATAACAAAAATTATTAGGTATATGTTTCTGATAACAATTTTTAAAAGACTCTATCATTTGGTTTACATGTGTAGATTGGTTGAAGTGTAGCTTCAAAGTCAGCAAAAATCACAAAAGGAATTCTTAAGGAATAATTATAATTTTGAAATTCTAAAGTTCTATTATAGGGTTCTGGTAGAACTATTTTAGCAGCTATATTATTATTACAATAATGTTTATGGTAATTTAACTTATATTCTTTATCAAAACTACTTAAACACATTTTACACAAAAATCTTTTATGACCATCTTTTGTAACTTTACTTCCTATTAGAGTCCATAAATCTTTAATCCAACAATAATGTCCTTTATTCACATTATCCTTGCCAACCGCTGTTAAATATAATAAATCTATATGATTAGTTTTTTCGATTTTACTTATTTCTAAAGGTACAATTACATTTTTATCTAAACAATAAATATTAATAGAAATATCTTTTGTTCTTTTAACAAATTTCGGAACGTCTGTGGTTTTTACTGGAAATTCAATATCTTTAAATTATTTATCAAATTCATTTTTAAAGCGATTATATTTAGTTACTCTTTGTCCATCTTTTTCAACAGATTGTAAAGCAGAGAGTATTGCCCAAAGAAAACATTTATCATCTTTATTATTAACATTTATAATAGCATGTTTATCTTTAATATGTTTAGGTAATGGAATATATGAAGAACCCTTAAAAGGAACATATTTATTTATATTTATTCCCAAATTTAAAATTTGATAGTCTCCATTGTGAATTTTTCATAATAAAATCTTCTTCTTCTTTTAAAATTTTAATTTTTGCATTTGTATAAAATTCATTTAAGTTAGAATTTTTTGTTAAAATTTTATTTTGATTTAAAATTTTTTTCCTCATATTCCATATTTCCTTCATTAGTACCTCTCTTATATATATCATACAACCAAATATTTACTTTTAAATTTGTTTTTTTTTATTTCTTGTTTAATTCGTCTTATTACTGGATTATCTAAACAATTCAAAAATGTTTGTATATCTTTAATAACCATATTATTTTTAATAATATAAGTTTTTAATCTATCTTGAAATGCTGTTTCTACAGTTTTAAAAACAAACTCTTTTCTTGGTCTTATACCATTATTTTTATGACGAATAGATTGTAAATGTTTAGACCAACTGTTGTATTTAACTGTTATCTTACAAATATCACAAGTTTTATCTATTTTTGGTATTCTCTCTTGTCTTGTTCTTACATTTGTTGTTGTTGTACCTCTGTATGTTCGTCTAAATCGAGGTATAATTGTTTGATCTGGATCATTGTTTTGATGACGAATAGATTTCAAATGTCTAGACCAATTTTTGTAACTAACTGTTAAGTTACATTTATCACAAGTTTTGTTATCCATTTTATTATTGTTAACATTTCCTTTAACTAAAGGTTCAATTTTATTTAAAAATTGAGGATTGAGGATGTATGCAAATTTTAAAAATTGCTTAGCAAATTTTAGCAAATGTTTTACAAAATATTTGCTGAGGTTAGAAGTTTGTAGCACAAAGTTGTGGTGCCAACTTCACGCACGTCCCAATGTGACCCGTCTTGAGTAGAATTATTTAAATTTAATATTCCACATTCATTTAACAGTGGTTTAAGAGGTAATTCATCTCTCATGAAACAACCTCTGAATATTTTTATATTATTTCCAAATTGTATTATATCAAAATTACTTAGCGGTTCAATTTTTAGATATTTTTTTTTCAAATTTTTTATAAATAATGATTTATTGAAATTATTCATTTTTTCGATTTTTTTTTTCATCAATCCAGAACCTTTATTTTCCATTGCTTTATTATGTCGAATTGTTTCTTTTACAATTGCATTTTTGTAATTTTTATCATTAACACTGTTGTAAATTGCAGATACACCTCCAACTAAAGCGCTAGCTGCACCTATCCCTGCAAAAAGTAATGGTAAAAATCCACCTTTTTTATCTTTAATTTGTGAATTTCGAATCTCTATCCTTACTCCAGATTTTTTATCCTTAGCGTTTTTTAATTTATCTAATTGAATTTTATCTAAATTATAAATATTTTCTCCTTTAAATATTTTGTTACTAGCAAATTAAAGTGGTGCATTAGTATTATTGTTATGAGCTTCTTGTAATTTTTTAATTTGATTTTTATTTAATTTAAAATAGTACGTCATTTTATGATACAACATATTATAAAATGTATTCATATATCAAATTCATTCCTAAACGTCTTTTTTCTTTCATTGCATATGCAGTTAAAATAGCCGGAATTTTTTCAGATATAGGACTATCAGGATCATTATATCTTTCCAATGCTTTTTGTTGTAAAATTTTGTCAGCAATTTGTCTTGATTTAATGTCTTTATGATTTTTGTAAAAATAATCATGTTCTCTTGCAGCTTCGTCTAATTTGTTGATTGGTTGTATATTTTGTTCTTCATTTTTCTCTAAATCTGTAAATGGTCCTAAATATTTAAATTTAGGATAATGCATCGGAGGTAAATATTTACAATTCAAAAAATCATTAAAAAAGCCTGCACCTTTTATAATTTTCTTTGGTAAACTTGAAATAAATGACCATAAATATATCGGACCTTTATCGGGAATATCAATTCCTTTTTCCATTATTTTAATACAAAAATTAAGAATTTCAAGTTTTTTATTATGATAATAATTATTTCCTACTCTTTCTTCACTAGATATATAATATATTTGTTCTCTTAATTGTTTTATATGTATGTCATTTGTTATTTCTTTTGGTAAATTTATCACATATTGTAGTAAATATTCAATACCTTTAGGATCATCTATTAAATGTTCCATTTTTGTTTTAAATAATTTAAGAATCCCATGTAGTTCATTATGATAAGTATAATTTCCTGCTTTTTGTTCAGCTGCTATTAAATGTAATCTTTCATTTAATTGTTTCATATTATCTATCCAACGATATTCAATTTCATTATTTGTATAATTCATTAAACCAGCTCCTTTATTCTCTGTTGCTTTTATAGGTTTTAAAATTTCTGTTGTTGGTTTTAATGGTTTTAAAATTTCTGTTGTTGATATTGTAGGAAAATCTGGTATTGTAGAATTTAAATTTTCTGTTGGTGTTGTTGGTGTTTTTTCTTTTTGAATTTTTCTCCAAATAGGACTAATCAATTGTACATATTTGTTACCTCCACTGGATCTAACTCTATTTGTATTTTTATCAACATTTTTGTATATTGCATCTGTTTCAAGTAATATTTGTGTATATTTTTCTAAATCTTCTTTATTATATTCATCTTGTTTTGGAACATCTGATTGAGTTAATAGACTCCACATACCTGGAGTTATTTCACGTTCTTTACCTTTTAATATTATTTTATCTAAATTAAGTTTTATTATTTCTTTTCCGATCGAATGTTGTTTAGTAATTCTATTATAATTTATTCCAAATGAATTTTTTTCAGGTAAAGATGCTAGAGCTGTACTAGCATTTTTACCTAATATTGTATCAGGAGGCAAAGGAGATGAATCTTTTAATTTTATCGGAGAACTTTTAGGTGTTTGAATATTTTCATAATCCTCTGTACTTAATATTCGTAATAGCTCTGGATTACGAGGTTTATAAGTATTGTACGGGCCGGGTACGAACAATAATAGGCCGTGCGGCCCGGTCACCAAAACACTCCGTGTGCTAACACACCACTACTCACCGATCGACCTATGTGGCTGTGTGGTATATGTGTGTATATGGTTTAGTACTCAACAGGAATTGGACAGGTTCGCCGAGCAAAACCTGCGAGTACTAGTTGTGGCGGTGGGGTGTGTAAGTGTGTAGTTGTGTGGGTGTGTGCTTAAACTATATGAATTAATTTATAACAATAAGGGTTTAGGCATAATATCAGCGTATAATAAATTTCAGCAAACAAATAAATAATTGTAATAATATGTCATTATAATATAATATGATGTGATTATAACTTATAATACATGGGCCTTCTGGCCGAACGAATATAATAATAAATTGTTGCCACAGCTATTTGAGCTGTGCTAGAAATAATAATATGTAGCCCTTCTGGCTGAACAGCTATATTATAATAATGCTAATATAAATATAAAATATGTATATAAAAGAACTCACAATTATGACGGTGATCGGCTGGCCAGCTTAACCCTTCTTATAATTTTCATAATAATAATAAATAATAGACGGCACACACTATGCGTCACAACAATAATTACAACAATAAAATATAAATCAACGTTGGCGATTAGCGCCTTACAGAAAATAGTATATAAATTAACGCTGGCGATAAGCGCCTTACAAAATAATATATAAATTATAATAATATAAACCCGTGGCGACGATATAATAATACGGAACTTGGTGATTAGCACCTATAAAATATTAGAATAAAAAACTTCGGCGATTTGCGCCTGCAATAATTGACCGGACATTCAACCACACGGGTTTGCGATCGATGCTACACTAACTTAATAAAAATAATATAATTGTTAACCCACACAAAATAGTATAATATAAGATATGATTTAGTGATAGGTATGATGTGTATACGGTGTGGGTCGGGAGATAGAGGTGCGCGGGGCGGTCGGCGATAGTGACACTAATTAAAATAATTTGGTGATATAACTAATAATAATAATAATAATGTCGTTCTGGCGCAAACATTTCTCCCCCTTTTGAAAATAATGATTTTCAAGACCTTATGCTTCATCTTCAACGGGTAGGCGGCAGAGCTTTACAACGGGACGTTTTATTTCATTTCCATTTGATAAACGGATGGTTACTACTCGAATCTGTCCATCGCTCCCTGGGTGCACACATGTAATGCGTGCCAGTTTCCATCTTGCTGGTGGCATATTGTCTTCCTTTACAATTACCAGATCATTTACCTCCAGTGGCCTACAGCCTGCAGTCCACTTACCACGCACTTGTAACTGTGGCAGATATTCAATGTGCCACCTCTTCCAAAATGTTTGCATCAGGCCTTGTACAGATTTCTATTTTGACAATTTGTTAGGGTTTTCATTCGATAGATCGGGTTCTGGATGAAAAAACATAGGACCACCAATGAGAAAGTGCGCCGGAGTTAGAGGGTCCATGTCGAATGGATCACTGCTCATGGGCGTGAGTGGTCTAGAATTGAGACAGGCCTCTACCTGGCATAATAATGTTTCCAGTTCACTGTACGTCAGGCTACCTTCCTTTAGTACGCGTAGTAAATGATATTTCGCACTTTTTACGCCACTTTCCCAAAGCCCACCAAAGTGTGGTGCCGATGGTGGGTTGAAGTGCCATGTTACACCTTCATTTGCTAGATTTTTTGCCACGTTTAGTAAGCATTCAGATAACTCTCTTTCTGCTCCAACAAAATTCGTTCCATTGTCGCTCCACATAGTCGATGGCTTCCCACGCCTTGATATAAATCTGCGTAGAGCAGCCAAAAATGCAGCACTTGTCATGTCTTCTACTGCTTCTATGTGAATAGCCTTGATTGAAAAACATTCAAAAATCGCAATCCATGCCTTTTTACTAGGTCTTCCTCTTATTCCACTGCGAACAGAGAAGGGGCCTGCAAAATCCACACCTGTGTTGGTGAAGGGGCGTGTACACTGGACACGTTGCCTTGGCAGGTGGCCCATATTTGGAGTATCGAATGTGGGCTTGGCCTTAATACATTGAATACATCTACGGAAAATTGAGCGAGCTATTACTCTACCCTTAATAGGCCAATAACGACGTCTGACCTCTGCGAGTAATGATTGAGGGCCGCAGTGCAATAATTCAGAATGAACATGGACGAAAATCATCTTCGTGATTTTATGGTCACCTGCGAGAATAATTGGCTCCTTTTGAGATTGTGGTATGTCGGCGTTTCTTAAGCGTCCACCAACTACCATCAGCCCATTTTTTAATTTAGGTTGTAATGATTTTAGCTTGCTTCGGCAGGATAACCCCCTTCCGGATATTAGTGCTAAAATATCACTATTAAACGAGTCTATCTGCGCTCTTTTCAGCAGTGTGTTGTCAGCTCTTTCTAACTCTTCAGCAGTAAGGTAACGTTTGTCTGGTTTTGCACGTTTTGATCTAAGATAATCTACAAACTTATGCATCCAGGCTACTGCTCGCCGAAGTCTATACCATTCAGAGTAAAAATTAACTAGATCCCTTGTTGGTTCCATCGTTATTAAAGCTAACTTTATAGACCTTAATTCTGGGAGCTCTACTGGTCTTGGCCACAAATTCGCGTCTTCCTTCCAACCCTTGTCGTCTTCTCTCAACCACAGTGGCCCTTGCCACCATAACAATGTTTCCTGCAAGTCTTGAGGTCTTATTCCTCTGGATAAAACATCGGCTGGATTCTCGTTGGTACTGATATAGTGCCATTGTTGACTATTTGTTATCTCCAAAATTTGACATATCCTATTTGATACGTATGTCTTGAGACGGTTAGGGTGACTGTTTATCCATCCAAGAACTATTGTTGAATCAGTCCATAGCCAAAATTGAGAGATATCAATTTCCCAGGATTTCGCAATCTTTAGGGCTAACTGGGCTAAGACTAATGTGCCACCAAGCTCTAGGCGTGGAATTGTAGCCCCAGTGAGTGGTGCTATACGTGTTTTAGCGCATATCAATTTTACATGCCATCTACCAAGGTGATCTTTACTTCTAACATAAATACAAGCACCATACGCATTCTGAGAAGCGTCAGAAAATCCGTGAATCTCAACTTCTTGGTTTGACGCTTCCTTCGCCTTTCTTGGAATCTCTAGTTTTTGAAGTTCTACAAGATCTGTCCAGAACTGCTGCCATCTTGACTTTATGTCAGCTGGTAGAGGAGAATCCCAATTAATTTTCATCTGCCACAGTTGCTGAAGGAACACCTTGCCTTTCACTAAAACTGGAGCTGAAAATCCTAGCGGATCAAAGATGCTGTTCAGAGCTGATAAAAGAGCTCGTTTAGTTACCATAGCTTCTAATTTGTTGTTTTCCAATTTAAATTTGAACACATCTGCCATAGGATTCCAGCACAGACCTAACGATTTAACTGTCTCATGGTCTCCTAACTTCAACACAAATAATGGATCATCATTGAATCCTTCAATTTTTCTTAATATTGTAACCGAATTCGAACACCATTTTCGTAATGGAAACTTAGCTGAATTGAGTATCCTTGAAACATCTTGTTGCAACTTTAAACATTCTTCCTCTGAATCATCTCCAGTCATAATATCATCCATATAAAAATCTCTCTTTATTGTTTTGGCTGCGTATGGAAAAGATACTTCATTTTGCCTAGCCAATTCATCCAAACACTTCGTTGTCATAAAGGATGCCGGGGTCGTGCCATAAGTGACTGTATTCAATCTGTATTTTCGCAAAACTTCGCTAGGATGCTCTCGCCAAACTATCCGTTGGAGATCTTGATCTTCCTTGGCCACTAATACTTGCCTAAACATCTTCTCGATGTCTGCGGTAATAACAAATTGATGCTTGCGAAACCGACTCAAAATGGAAAATAAATCTTCTTGAGTACTTGGACCTCGCATTAGCACATCATTCAATGCAATACCGTTCGATCCTCTTGCGGACGCATCAAAAACGACTCTGACCTTCGTTGTCAAACTAGATGATTTGATGACAGCATGATGTGGTAAATAAAACGTGGGTCTAGCTGTAACATTATCTTTAATCTCTTCCATGTGGCCCATTTCTATGTATTCGGTCATGAATTTGCTATACTCCATTCGTAGTTGATCGTCGCGTTGAAGCCTTCTCTCAACGTTCATGAAACGACAGGTTGCCATATTCAAGCTACATCCTAACTCATTGACCCTTGGCTTTGTGGGTAATCGTAAAACAAAACGGCCATCAGAGTTTCTAGTAACTGTTTTCATGAAATGGTCTACAGCTTCTTGCTCCTCCGAGAATTGTAGGTTGGCCTTTGACGATCGGCCGAATGGCTGGTTCTCTTCACGCTGAGTTGCTTCCCAGTCTTCTTCTTGTGGCCTTCCAACTCCTAAAAGACAGGTTGCTACAATTTCACCAGTTACAACCCACCCAAGCTTGGTTCCTTGCAGTGATACGTTGCCAATCTCTAACGGAATTCTTTCAGGAGTCATAATATCAAAAAATACACCTGCTCCTATTAATACATCAACTGGGCCTGCTTGGTCGAATTTAGGATCAGCTAATTGTATGGATAATTTCTCATTGATATGCCAACCATCCTTAGGTTTCCTGCATGCTGGAAGATCACTTGCTATATTCGGTAAAACGTGACATGCAATATCTAGCTTGAATGCGGAGACACATGACAGTAACTGAATGTTGACTCTTGAAGTGGTTTGCAACTGGCTTGTACCTATTCCACACACTGGTAATACAACCCTTTCACTGGGCAATTTCAGCTTATTTTGCAGCCCTTTAGATATAAAATTTAATTGGGAACCACTGTCTAAAACTGTACGACATTTATGAGCCTTTCCATTTATGTCTTTAATTATAGCTACCGCCGTTGACAAGAAAACATAACTATTTGGTAATGTAGCAGCCATTGCATGTGCATGGCCTTGAGATGTAGGTGCAATCATAGAGCTTGCCTCCTGTGCATCATTCGTTACGTTTTCAGTGGTATTATCTGGTCTTCCCTCAAGATGAAGTAGTGTATTATGTCTGCGATGACAACGACCACATGAATACCTGGACTTGCAAACATTCGCTAAATGACCACCGGATAAACAATTAAAACAAAGTCTAGCATCTCTTATTATATTTAGGCGTTCTATTACGGTAAGTTTCTTAAAGCCTTCACAACTATATATTCTGTGTTGACCCTTACACTTAGGACAGACTTCATGTTCCGTTCCAGCTATTAGAGCGACTTTTTTCGGTTTTTGCTCATATTCCTTCCCCTTTGAATAATTTCGCTGACTGTCTACTTCACCAGAAATCTGTTTACTGTAATCAGAATTCTCTAATGCAACACATCTGTTTGCCAGAAACTTTTCTAATGCTGCGTATTTAGGCAAGTCTGTGGATTCTTGGCGTAATTGCCAATCATGACTTGTTGCTGTGTCCAATCTACTGACTATAATTGTTACTAACCAGGCATCCCATTGATCCGTTGGTTGCTTCATAGCTTTAAGAGCGGCAATATGAACGCAAATGTGGGCGTGAAGACCTTGTAATTCACTTGCCGAGGGTTTTTGTATGTATGGAGTTTCCAAAATCGAGCGAATGTGTGACTGAATAACAAGTCCTGGATTGTCATACCTTTGTTTTAATCGATTTAATGCAACTTCGTAATTTACATCTGTCATTGGTACGGATTTAACTAAATCGAGTGCAGCACCAGCAAGATGAGACCTTAAATAATAAAACCTTTGCGCTGAAGAAAATCCATTATCTTCATGCACCATGACGCGAAAGCAATCGTAAAACGATTGCCAGTCTTGAATGTTACCAGTGAAGGTTGGCAGTGAAATCGGTTCTAACCGGACTCGACTATTTGAGGTTGATGCACTGACAGACATATTGTTAATACTTGAGTTAAGACATTTCTTCGTATTAATAATTTCCTGAATTTGAGAACGAATACAATAATAATCATTTTCAAATTTAGTACGCTCTTCTTCTTCTGAGGCTTGCTCTTCAACTAAAAGCTCCAGTTGAGTTTGTGTATCATCAAATTTTCTATTTATTGAGGGCAACTCTTCTTGTCTAAATTCCAACAGAGTGATTGGATCCTCATTTATATCAAATCCTGAGACGAATGTCTTCATTCGCGTAAGTGAAGCTTTAATTACACCACGCCTTTTCCTCAATTCAGAAATATCCTTCATCTGACTTGAATCTAACACCATAATGTACAATAAGTGCACGCTCTAAAAACTCAATATCTTGACAACAGGAAAATAGAAATGACCAAGTTGCAATAATAATATGAAGGCAATAATTTAATGGATAAAATTGACCGTATTATATTATACACCAATAGACATTATTTAAACAAAAAAAAAAAAAATAATACCTTTCACGACTTCATAATATGCTAGAATTTCCTGTTGATGATAATAATGAAGACGCTTATCACATAACAGAGAAGTTATAAAGAAAATAATTTACTGCGATATGCCGATATGTATATCAAATGCCAACATTAATATCAATAGAATAATGATTAAATCATACTATCTGAATATTGTACTATATATTATTATACGTTGTCATACACCTAATCACGTCGAGGTCACCATTATGTACGGGCCGGGTACGAACAATAATAGGCCGTGCGGCCCGGTCACCAAAACACTCCGTGCGCTAACACACCACTACTCACCGATCGACCAATGTGGCTGTGTGGTATATGTGTGTATATGGTTTAGTACTCAACAGGAATTGGACAGGTTCGCCGAGCAAAACCTGCGAGTCCTAGTTGTGGCGGTGGGGTGTGTAAGTGTGTAGTTGTGTGGGTGTGTGCTTAAACTATATGAATTAATTTATAACAATAAGGGTTTAGGCATAATATCAGCGTATAATAAATTTCAGCAAACAAATAAATAATTGTAATAATATGTCATTATAATATAATATGATGTGATTATAACTTATAATACATGGGCCTTCTGGCCGAACGAATATAATAATAAATTGTTGCCACAGCTATTTGAGCTGTGCTAGAAATAATAATATGTAGCCCTTCTGGCTGAACAGCTATATTATAATAATGCTAATATAAATATAAAATATGTATATAAAAGAACTCACAATTATGACGGTGATCGGCTGGCCAGCTTAACCCTTCCTATAATTTTCATAATAATAATAAATAATAGACGGCACACACTATGCGTCACAACAATAATTACAACAATAAAATATAAATCAACGTTGGCGATTAGCGCCTTACAGAAAATAGTATATAAATTAACGCTGGCGATAAGCGCCTTACAAAATAATATATAAATTATAATAATATAAACCCGTGGCGACGATATAATAATACGGAACTTGGTGATTAGCACCTATAAAATATTAGAATAAAAAACTTCGGCGATTTGCGCCTGCAATAATTGACCGGACATTCAACCACACGGGTTTGCGATCGATGCTACACTAACTTAATAAAAATAATATAATTGTTAACCCACACAAAATAGTATAATATAAGATATGATTTAGTGATAGGTATGATGTGTATACGGTGTGGGTCGGGGGATAGAGGTGCGCGGAGCGGTCGGCGATAGTGACACTAATTAAAATAATTTGGTGATATAACTAATAATAATAATAATAATGTCGTTCTGGCGCAAACAAGTATGTTTAGGTATTAACATTTTTTGAATATCATTATCAGTTTTAATAGCAACCTCTTTAACACCATTAACAGATGATTCAACTTTTGATAAACCTTCTAATATTGGTCTAAATTGTTTTACTTTATCTTCAGCTGAATGTATATCGTCTATAACTCTTTTTCTATGTTTGCTAGTGAATATTCTTTTTCTTGTAATTTTTTTTCATCATATTCATCTTCATATTCATCTTTTCTCAAATTATTTACCTTTTTTTTCAGAATGTGATAAATTTGATTTTTTAAATTTTGTTCAAGATGAATTAATTCTTTAATATTTTTAGGTTCGTTTTCTAAATTAGTTCCTTAATTTAAATTGTTTTGTGTTTCTGATGGATCTGTAAATGCAACTTTTTTAAATTTTTTTTTTTTTATTATTTTTCTTAAATTGTTTTGAGTTTGTTTAACATTCATTTATTATATGAAAAATATTAATTTTTTCATTATCAAGTATTATTAAGTATAATCAAGTAGTTTTTCAAGTTTATAGTACAAACGATTATTGAGTAGATCGATTGTTATAAATCCATAGTCATTTTTCCAACAATCTGAACATAAAGTTTTAAAATCATTGAAAGAAATAGTATTACTTAAAAAATCATTCCAAATGTTTTTAATATATTGAGTTGATTTAAAAACTATTAAACGAGTTAAATTATTTCTTATATATTGTTTATTTGCTGAACTATAACATTGATTTAAAAAAATAACTGAAATATTTTTTGGTCTTGATCTATTCATATATTCATAAATAGGTCATTGTTCATCTAAAGGAATATCATCAAAAACAACTAAGCTATCACGTTCACATTCGTCTACAGATATAATATCTGTATCAGATATATAAAAATAAATCTCAGGTATACCTTCAAATATTTCTATTAGATCATTATAAACTGGTTGGTCGATACTTTTTGTAAAAATATATAATTTTTCATAATTAGTCCAATGATTTAGAACTATATTCCTCAACACCTCTGTTTTACCAGAGCCTGATGGACCAGTTATTTGAAGTCGCATAGGTAAATGAAATAAAGATTTTATTTTATTTTTTATTTTATATGGTTTTATTATAAAATTTTTTTTTTAATTTTTACTATTATAAACAATGTACAATATTTTTAAAAAGTATGATCAGTTTATTGAAAGTGTTCAATATAAAACTTTTACACCTACGAGTAACACTCAACTTAATACACCTAATAAAGATACCATTTTTAAAATAAATAACATGGATAATTTTATGGATATTAGAAAAGCAAAGTTTTATATGTATGGTAAATATTTGCAAAAAGATGGAAAAGAATAACCTAAAGATTCAAAAATACAACTAATTGATGATTTTCCTAAACATTTATGGACTAAAGTTCAAGTTAAAATACATGGTAAAACAATATCTGAAATTGAGTATGTAGGAAAAGTAAGTACAATTAATGGTGTGATAGGCTGCAACTCTTTGGATTCAAATGGACCAAGTATAAACTCAGGCTTTGTAAGCAAATTTAAAGGTGGAGGTAATTTTAATGTTATGGGTTCTTTATCAGAATTTGGTTTACCATTTTTCAATGACATTTCAATTCCTGTTTATCAATTGGATATGGAATAATGTTTTACTAGAAATACAGATGATGATGCATTACTAAAAAAAGATGTAGTGATTGAAAATGGTAAAGAGGTAAGAAAACTGTTGTAGGAACAGAAGATTGGTTAAAATTATTATTGATGAATTTTCAATTAAAATTCCAGTTGTGCGATACGCTGCTTTACAAATGTTTTATGGTAAATGAAATAACTACATTTTCTAAAGAAAAAAAGTATACTTTTAATTTTAAAGCGTGGCAAATGATTGAGGAAAGAAATATAAAAGGAAAAACTATTAAAAATTACGTAACAAAATGAATATCGAAGTAAAAATCAACCTATGTTTTGTGGTTTTACATTTCAAACAAATAAATTAAATACTCAATGACCCTGGTGAATTTGATAATTGTCGTGTTAGAAGCTATAGTTTTGAATTAAATGGAATAAATTATCCTGCAGAACGTCAAGATGAGATTTTATAATAATAAGTGTTTGTCAATTTTATGATGATTAATGTCATATAAAATTAACTTATCATAAAAATACTCAAGAACTTCCATGATGTAATGATCCACCTGAATTTTAAGGAATATAGATCAATATTTCTAACTAAAACAGTTTTATCAACCAGAAAATATCTTTTTAATAAAAAAAATTTTATTTTACATATTGCGTTACCTGAAGATTTACCTAAAGATACAATTGTTATATTTTTTTCATAAGAGAAGATGATTTTTGTTTGATTTTGAAAAAGGTACTATTGAAGAAAATATAAAAAATATAAAATATAAAAATATAAAAAGAAAAAAGTGGAGTACTCCAACCTTATCTCCTAGTGACTATTATTTCAATAGAATAGTTCTATTGAAAAATAATTTCTATTTATTTTTAATTAAATCAAGAAAACAACTAAAATCGTCATTATCAAAAAACATATTTTTTACCATTTTGATCTATAATATCTATTTTTATTTCTTGAAATGTCCTTTAACAGGTATGTCTATTATTGAATTAGTTTTTGTATATGGATTATCATCATCATATATAGTTTCAGGAGACAAGTAAACAACTCCACCAGGGATACCAATAATTCTAATAGGCGGAATAATAATTTTAATAATCGTTATAATTACAATTCATCCAGTAATAATAGACCGAATCATAACAATGACAATTCACAGAGACAAAATTACAATCCTAGAGATTCGAATTATATTAGACCACAGTACAATCGAAATCCGAATTTTAATAGACCTGGCATAAATCAAGGTGATAGGAACAATTTCAACAATAATCAATACCAGCCTCGCAACAATAATAATTTTAATCGCAACAATGATTATAATCGTAGTAGTAATTATCGGAATAATAACAATGCAATAGGTAATATACGATGTTATCAATGCGGAGGCAATCATTTTGCCCGGGATTGTGTACAGCATCTTAATAGTAACAATTCACGTCCATCTAACAATAATTTCACGCGACAGCCTACTAATTGCAACGCTCCGGTAGACGTTATATGCCGTATTGTAAAAATCTGGACATGACGTTACCAAGTGTTTTAGGAAACAGAATAACGATAGGTACAATAATAATTCGGGAAACTTGCCGAGATCGGGCGACATGAGTGGCGCTCGCCCGATAAATTTGATAGCCGCGGTCGAGGAAGATTTCGACAATGCCTACACATCGTATCAGTCTAAAACAACAATCATTTCACTTGCAGTCTGTTAATATAAGAAAAAAATTTATAGAATTGCTAAGATACTGGAAGCGATGTTAACTTAATAAAATTTAGTGCTTTGACAGGTGACACACTAGTACACGAAAACAGAAAAATATATTTAAAAGGAATTAATGATAAGATAGTGTCAACAGTAGGACAAATTAAGATAACTTTAAGATTTAATGAAGTTATATTGAAAC